CTCAGGCAATCCACTCACCTCAGCCTCCCAAAGGCACGGGATTGCAGGTTGAGCCACCGAGCCCAGCACAGCTCAAGTTTCTTAGTCAGGTCTTCTGTCTTCTCCATCAGATTGTACCTTCCATGAGGACAGGGACATCTGTCTTATTCACTATTGTATTCCTGTGACTGTCCCTGTGTATATAGTTTTCTCTTGCTGCATAATAAATTACCCCCAAATGTGGTGGCTTACAGTCACAATTATTGGCCATCACGTCCAGTTTCTGTGCACAGGAGTTCACACAGGATAGCATGGCTTGACTCTGCTCACTGTGCCTGGGGCTTCAGTGGGAAGACATAAAGGCCGAGCGCTGAAAGTCTTCCTCACGTCCGCGCTTAACAGCTGGTTCTGGCTGTTGGCCAGAACACTTGCACACGGCCTCTACTTGCGACCTGGGTTTCCTCACAATGTGATAGCTGGGTTTCAAGATCCAGCTTCCCCAGAGAAAGAAAGCACCAGGCTGCAGCCGTGTTGCCTTTTATGACTTAGCTCCAGAAGTCAGGAAGCATCACTTCTGCCCCATTCTATTGGCTGAAGCAGGAAGGTCCACCTTGGTAGTTCACTCTTAACAGAAGATTTTCTTTGTCATGGTGTAAAACAGCATGTATGATTTTATATATTGATTGATACAGTTATCTTTGGAAACTAACATCTGCTGTACTGCACCTGCACATAGTTACATAGTTAGCACCTAGTAAATGCTTATTAAATGAATGAACAAATGATCTTTGGCCTTTAAGGAAATTGGTCTCAAAACTTAATGGAAAAAGAAAACTTTCAAAGCTTAATGTTCTTATAGATGAACTCTAATCATGATGATAGTATAAATTTCTGCTTATGAAAGAAACCACCTTTACTCCCAACACAAGCCATTGATATATAAGGATAAAAAGAGACGATGAAAAGATGCTCTCAAGTACCAAACAAGGTAAATAGCGCCACAGATCAGAAGTGGAGCACCGGAGAGAACATTCAGCACCAAGAGCATTCAGTCCTTGACGTGCTGCACACCTGCCCCAGATATAAGCAAAGCCAGTAGGAAGTTTGCCCCTGTGGGCCACGGGCACTACATGTGCACCGCTCATGGACACTACACGTGCACCGCTCTTGGGAGAGGGGGAAGCACCCACTGCTAGAACCCACACTCGCGGGGCTGTGGCTCTCCTGCTGATAGTTATGGGTGAAGAGAGCTGTTGCCCCTGATGCCTGGGGCTACAGCTTATTTAAGGCTCCCAATCTGAGGAGATCGGAGGACAGAGACAGCCTCTGACTGTAAGCCAAGCCAACCACAGTTAGTGACCGGCTTGGCAATTTCCCCAATAACAGCGGAGCGAGAACTCCACGCTGCCAACATAAGAGCAGACTCGGGCCTAGAGACCCTCTTGTGAGTGCTACCGTTAAGACCATTGGAAAGTCGGGTGGGGACTGCAGAATGCAGACTTTCTAGCTCCTGGTGAGTGACAGGAGCCTGCAGATGAGACAAGATGCCACGAGGCTCCCCGCACACAGCAGCCTGAAGGTGGATTCGCCCCAGACAGAATTCACGTTATGAAACAATGCAAAAAAGACTAAAAAATAAGTGTGATTAAAATTAGCATTCGTTAAAAAAGAAGAAACTGAAATAAAAACAGAATCGAAGCAACAATGTGTGAATGTGAAAAACAACAAACTAGAAGTCTTGAAAATATAGTCACTGAAATTTTTAAAAATTGCTCATCAGAAAAGTAAACATTGGATTAGAATGAAAAATTAATAAATTGAGGGAGACTTGAGAGAAGACTGTGGATGCTGTGGAAACCCCCGATCTGACACGGGGAAGAGAGTAGGGGCAGCCAGGTGGAAGAGTGGAGGGCTCCCGTGCCGGGACACTGCCTTTCCCGCTGGGCCAGTGTCGTCCTATGATGCTTCCATCTTCTCTGGCAAAACAAGCAAAGGAGTGACATGAGTAGTCTGCAGACATGGAAGGCCACCACTGGTAGCAGGAGAAGTGTGACGGCCCAGAAGGCCTGGGAGAGTTGCATGTTTGGGTGCTGAAGTGTGCAGGCACTCTTTGTGCCGGGTCATCGGCACTGCTCCTTTCCTTCTGCCCCCAACCTTCCTTCCCTTCTTTTGTAGAATTTTTGTTGTTCTTCCTCATGTTTTGTTTTGTTTTGTTTTGACAGGGTCTCACTCCATCATCCAGGCTGTAGTGCAGTGGTCTGATCAGAGCTCACTGCAGCCTCAAACTCCTGGGCTCAAGTGATCCTCCTGCCTCAGCCTCCCAAGTAGCTGGGACTAGGCACATGCCACTGCACCCGGCTTTCATATATATATATATTATTTTTTTTTGGTAGAGATAGGGTCTTGCTATGCTGCCCAGGCTGGTTTCAGATTGCTGGGCTCAAGTCATCCTCTCACCCCAGCCTCCCAAAGCACTAGGTTACAGGCATGAGCCACAGCACCCAGCCCTGTTCCCTTTGTTTATTGAAATCATCATTCATGCAGAAAAGCTGAAAGAACAATACAATGAACACTCTATCCTCCACCTAAACATCTGTTAGCATTTTATTTATATTTGCTTATCCCCTCCCTGTCTGTATTTGTGCTTTTGTCAAGAGTAAGTTGCAGACCACGTGTTGGCATGCATCTCATAAGAGGAGCCACAATGCCACTATCACACCCAAGAAGAAGAACATGCCCCCTCGGTGTGTCATCTGGGATTCGGGCCACGTTCAGATGTCCATAGTGGCCCCAAGAACGTCTTTTATTGTTATGGTTTGTTTAGTTTGTTTCACTGTGCCAGTCTCCATCAAGATTCCACTGCCCTGGTTGTTATGAAAAAAAAGAGGGGAGACATTTCCTAGAAAAATAAATCTAATCTGGAAGTCGATCCAGGTTCCTCGTTTTCACCACTGTTTCCTTTGGCTTTGGGGTGTTCCAGGCTGAGATTCTAACAGGCCTGACAGTGGGCAGCGCTGCGGAAGCTGGCCAGGCTGCCTCCGTGCTCCTGGAAAGGGGCTGCCCGGTCGCCATCATCACCCTTGGAGCTGGCGGATGTGTGGTGCTGTCCCAGAAGGAACCCGTACCGAAGCACATTCCCACGGAGAGAGTGAAGGCTGTGGACACCACGGTAGGCTTGGAAATCCAAGAATCATTTTTACCCACAAAAATTGTTTTCCAATGACTAAGAGGCTGCACCTGAGTTTTGGATCATCAGGAAAGGCCTAGGCGTTGATGTAACAGAAGAGCAGTAGGCAAGAGAGTGTACCCTCACCCTCTCTAGCAACAAACGGGAGACTGTTCCTTAAACCTGCCCTGGCAACAGCCAGGAGACTGTACCTTAACCTTCTTTAGCAATGGGCAGGAGGCTGTACCTTGACCCCTCTGACCCACTGCGGGACTAGAGAGGGTAGCTTAACCTCTCTGAGCCTCAGCTTCCTCATCCATAAAATCAGAATGTCGGTAAACTTGTCCGCCTATCCCCTCTGTTCATTCATCCCCTCTGTTCGCTCATCTATTCCTCCACTTAGACCCCTGTAATATGCCAGTCCTTGGCCCGGTGCTGGGGATATAGTGGTAAGACCGAGTCTCCATCCTCACGGGCCTGAACTCTAGACAGTCAGCAAATGCCACCCAGTCTTCTCATGTGCAGTGGACAGGGAGGAGCACTGGTTAGCAGAGATCGTTCTTGTAGCCGACAGATGACAACAGCTGGCATTTGCTGTGTGCTTGCTGTAACTCTTTCGCATGCGTGTCATTTAATCTCTGCAACAATTACATAAGGCAGGTGCTATTATGCTCCTCCTCCTCCTCCAGGAAAACAACCCTGCTCGGGTCACAGTGCCAGCAAGTGGCAGAGCTGGACCTCAAGACTAGGCCTGGACGCCACAGACACTCCCTATGTCAGGCACCGATAAGGTCAAGAGTGTCAAGGCTGCAAAGGAGGAACAAAAAGGGTTGTGACTGTGCACTGAGAAGCGTTGTACAGCCGGGCTCAGTGGCTCAGCTGGTAACCCAAGCACTTTGGGAGGCCAAGGCAAGTGGATGGCCTGAGCCCGCGGTTTTGAGACCAGCCCAGGCAACTTGGCGAGATCTCATCTCTACGATAAATGTTTTTAAAACTTAGCCAGGTGTGGTAGCATGCACCTGTAGTTCTGGTTCCTTGGAAGGCTGAGGCAGAAGGATCACTGGAGCCCAGCAGGTCGACGCTGGGATGGCCGTGAGTGTGCCACTGCACTGCAGCCTGGGCGACGGAGTGACTCTGACTCAAAAAAATAAAATAAAATAAAAATAAGGGTTGTACCTTCTGATGACACCACTTTGTGCCCTTTTTGAGTATCAGGAAACGGAATACATAAAAGATCTAAACTCCACGTCTCCTTTAGGAGAGCCGACCTTTGTTTTCTGTGGAAACACCCTGGCAGAGTGGAGGGCTCTGGGGCCTCGGAGACCACGTTCTGTGCTCCTCCTGCCCATTTGGCAGCTTCTGAGCCTCGGGCATCTCCCCTCTACAATGGGCTCACCTTGTTCTCGCTGTGAACCTGGAAGGGTAGGCGGGGGAGGAAGCAGTCTCTCAGCTTCCTTCTGACGCTAGAGTCTGGTTCTGTGGCTAGCCGCTTTCGTTCATTCGTTTGCTTTCATTCATTCGTTCAACAAATACTAACTGTTCAGATTACATGCCAAACAAAAGAAGAAAGAAAGAGAATGTCTGTGCTTTTAAATTTATCTTGAGATTTTTAGTAGCCTTGCAGAATTTGGAGATAATGATTAATTAGTACATAGGAGACTAAGGGAATCTTTTAAACAGGCAGATTTTCCCCTTTAGGTCATCTAGAATCAAAGAGGGAAAAGAGTATGATTAAGTATATATAATCTGTGTACATCACATGGCTATAAATGCATAGTCATAATAATATGAATGCCAATTCTCGACTTAACCAACAATAGCGGTTATAGTCACACTGTGAAGATGGAAGAGTAAAACAGCTGTGTTTGTACATGGGGGATGTAACAGAACCAATGTTCATCTTCCATGGATGGAGGTCGGGAGGTGATCTCTAAACTGACTTTTTAAAAGGCAGTATGAGCAAATGACTAGAAATAGGAGATGATTCCCAGAAAGTCACTAAAGGAATCCAAAGTGTTTGCTTTGTGGAAACGGGAAGGGAGAGGGATCCGGCATTCACAGTCGAAGCCTTCTCTATTTAGACTATGTCTGTGGATGATGTCTTTGATTTCAAAACAAAGAACAACACACAGTGAGCCCACTTCACAGCCACCAGGATGGCTGTAATCCTATAGAACATGGACCACAGCACACGCTGTCAAGGATGTAGCGAAATTAGAGCTCACACAGTTGCTGGTAGGCATGTAAGATGGCGCAGCATCTTGACTTTGGAAAACAGTCTAGAAATGCCTCAAAAGCTTGAACATAGACTTACCGTACAACCCAGCTGTGCTACTTCTAGGCATATACCCAAGACAAAGGAAAACGTGTCCACCCAAAAACAAGTATATGAGTATTCACAATCACCAGAAATTGGAAAGCGCCTGATGCTCGTCAGCAGATGAATGGGTAGACAAATGGTGGCATGGCCATGTAATGGAACGTTACTTGGCCGTTAAAAGAAATACTCACACACTCTGCAACATGGGCGAATGTCCACAGCCTTGTGCTTAGAAGCCAGGCACAGAGAGTCGCCCATTATATGACTCTGTGTATGTGAAATATCCAGAATAGGCGTGTCCAGAGACACAGAGCATCGGCTGGTGGTCGCCGGGGGCTACAGGGAGGGGGAATGGGAGGCGTCGTGTCACGGGAAGGAGATGCTCTGCAGCCAGGTGGCGTGGCAGCTGCACGGCACCAAGAGCAGCGAAGCCCCGCTGGGTTAGCCACGTTCCCATGGCAAACTATTAGATAGGCAGTTTTCTGAAAGGAATCAAGTACCAATTCATGCCTTGACGAGGATGAACCTGGAAAGCATACTAAGTGAAGAAGCCAGACATGAAGGGCTCCCCTGTCACAGGATCTCATTTGCAGGAGAGACCCTGAATGGGTGGAACCACAGAGGCAGAAAGCACACTAGTCGTGGCTGGGGTGGGGGGGGATGGGAGTGGCTGCTCAGCAGGTAGGAGGCCCCTTTTGGGGTGATGAGCATGTTCTAGAATGAGTGGTGATAGTTGAACAGCCATGTGGACAGACTAAAAAGCCCTGAAGCGCACCTTTGAAGAGCAAGTTTTAGGATATGCGAATTATGTCTCCAGCAACAACTACCTGAAAGCCATATCTACACCCGCCACTGATGGGTGTGTATTCCCCTGGTAAAGACTAGGCCCTGAGCTGGGCTCGGTGGCTCAGCCTGTAATCCTGAGCCTGTTGGTTCGAGACCCGCCTGGGCAGCGAGGCCTCATCTCTACAATAAATCAAAAAATCAGCCGGGCGTGGTAGCGCATGCCTGTAATTCTGGCTACTCGGAA